AGAGAAATTTTACGAGCACAAGATACATCACCTTTAGCTTGCGCATGTGTAACAGTTCGTATAGCTAAATACATATTATGTAGCAGTTTTGCACAGTTGTGTAATTATGAATGAATTATGTAGTTTTTGCACAATTTTTATTATACTGTATTCAAATAGCAGTATTCACATCAGATGGTTATTAATATATGATTATGTAAATATAGTAGATTTACATGAAGCTGAATATGTAGTGAAAATTATTATTGTTTTTAATTAGGCACATTAATTTGCTATTTGCACTTTTTTGATGTTGCACTTTATATATTTATTGGCAATTTGTTTATATTATATCCTGCACATCTATCATGTGACTGTGTTTACATGTTTTATCGCATGATCTCACATGCGATTGTGTTGCAAATTTTTATCACAGGATCAGCTGCATACTTGTTTGTTAAGGTAATTGACGGTAGTTCTCCACCCTTCTGTCAATTTGAGGTTTGTTTACTCCTACAGCTTTTTAAGAAAGGTTGTGTGTGACCAAAACATCACGTCTTTTACGATTAGGGTTCAGAATAGAATTTCTATTCACTTCCTTCACTTTATAAAGTTCTTCTTTGGTACCTTAATAAAGGATCTGTGGACTCGAAGGTTTGTTCTGGAAATTCTTATTCTTTCTTTATTATTGTTGGCTTGGGGGTGGAGCCAGAATCCATGCACCCTAAAGTGACCAGTAGCTTTATTTTTATTGGTTGACTTAAAACCAAAGGATTGCTAAGTTATATATACATATAAACTCCCCATTTCCCACCATAACTTTTGTCATAAGACTTGCTTTTCCTACAGAAATCTCAAATTTGCAGGGATGTTATTACTACATGGGATTCTGGGTATTGCATATGCAAATTAGTTCATCAAAGACTCACCATTTTTGCCTCATTATGTTTATGTTTGCTATATACAACAACTTTGAAGAACAACTAAGGAAGAGATGCAAGGCCAGTGAACCACTCATGGACAGCTATTTTTGTGTTAATATATATTTAATGTAAATTTTGTGTAGTTTTTTTAACTTATGTCTCAGTAAGGTAAATAATTTTTGGCTGAGTTGTCTTATCAGAGATAAGTTTAACAGTTTTTAAACTTAGCAGTTCTCCATAAGAGTATCCCACAGGCCTGTTGTATGGATTTAGTTTATGCTCTCCCAGGCATTAAAACAAATTACATTTTTTTTTCTCCAGCACCAGGTCTTCTTTGGCATTGTTGCAACCTCCTCCTTGAGTGATGTCATAATGGAGCATTGGAGACCTTAGGCGCAAGCGTGGCACTTGCCGTGATGCACCTAAGGTTCTGCCACAGAAACTCATTGAATACAATGATTCTCCATGGCAGACTATGACTGGACTTTACATGTGCATGTGTTGTCACGGTATGTTAAGATATGATAGCCAGGAAATAAGATGTCTGGCTCTCAAATTCTGAGGGCTTGGAGGTGTGTCTTGAAGCCACACTTTAAAGCAGGGCTGTCCAATCTGCGCCCCCCAGATGTTACTGAACTACAAATCCCATGATTACAACTCCCTGGCTGTTTCATTGAAAGAATCATGGGAGTTGTAGTTCAGCAACATCTGGGGGCCGCAGGTTGGACAGGCCTGCTTTTAAGCTTTCTAATTAGTGAAATAAAGGGTTTTGGGGGTAGCTTAGGGTGGAAAGACTGTAGGCACTATAACAACTTCAATAAGATTAAGTTGTTAAAGTGCCTACAGTGTTCCTTTCCATTGATTCAACTATTGATTGTATGTTCTATTCTGCCTGTAAGTTTTTTTTTTTTTTTCTGACATCATCTCTTCCACTCAGTCCTACAACTACTGTGGATATCGATTTTGTTTTACCTTATTTGATATTAATTGTCTTTAACACTATCTTATGATCTCCTTAAATATTATACCTGGACATCTAAATTCCGGCTACATTTGAAACAAACAAAAAAATATATATTCCACATATTTCATGCATGTACACACCCACATATATAAATATTTGTTAGAACATAAATATATATTCTTACAAAATTTCTTTCATTTTAGCTTTAACAGCACAACATTATGTTTCATTTTTCTTGGTAACATGTTTTTCAAAGTTTTCACTGAAATGTGATCAAAGGCATTTTTAATACAGAGTTTATGATACATTTGACTTGTGCACGGTAGAAAAATTCAGTTTGACCATTTAAAAAATCTTCAGAAAAGCAGAATTTAGTGCGTGTAGTGGTTGAGCTCATCAGAATTTAGGCCAAGGAAACAGATGCAGGAAAATTAGGGGTACAAAAAATGGGCCAGTGTACTGCAATAAATATTTATATCGTAAATATTTTGCAGTGCACCAGTAAGCACATTTTCCTCCTGTTTAGTTCACAGATCAAGTGAGAAAAAGTAACCAATAGAGTGAAAAAGAAGAGGAGCAATAAAAAATGAAAATCCACACATATATATATATATATATATATATATATATATATATATATATATATATATATATATATATATATATATATATTTTTTTTTTTAGAAATGAAATATATACATGTAGCTTTTTTACTGCACCACCTTTTATCCCCTATTTGTTATTTCTCATTTGATATGGGAGTATAATCAACATTTTGTGGCTGTACCCTAGCCACCAACCATCTTTTTGTCCCATAATCATCTCCATTTTTGGTGCCATGGGAAGAACACCAAATCTCTAATCAAACAAGTTAGCTCTTCAATTGCACAAGTTGTTCTGTGATAAGTCTGTATGGTGTTTTGGAAATCATGAATTTGAACAATCACCAGATTGCCCCAAATTCAGGAAAAGGTAATTTCGTAATTTAAAAAAAATCTCTAATCTGGGGTACGTTTTATGTATTTAGGAGAAAAAATGCACACCGCAAATATATTGACATAATATACATTGCAGCTTGAGAATAGTTGGATTATTGGATTATTTAATTTTTTTTAACAATATTTACAACTTATTAAGAAGAGGGTTTTTTATCAACATGACATTACCTTTAATTTTTAAATATGAGTTTAACTCTGATATACAACATCACTTGGTGAATGTTTATTTTAGTTGGTCCATTCACTGACCCAATGAACCATTGCTAATAATAAATACACTTTGTTAGCAAAGGCTTTAAAAGGGAATCAAATGAGTTTGCTACAATGGCATATAATAGGTTAATGACTCTTTCCATAACAATACTTCGAACAGCACATTAATAATGCCATTACCTGGCATTAAATCCATTACATAACATTACTTAGATGCTAATGTATCTTTTGTTGCATAGCTTTATGTTAGTAAATCATCAAGCATGTCAAAGCATAGTTTATATACGCTTTAGTTTAGGCAATATCACAGTTTCTCTATACAGAGCAATATTCATATCTGGTATGGAAAAAATAGATTTACTGACAATATTAACTATGTAGAAATAAAATAATAGTGATAACAATAAAAACTAATAATAATAATAAATGTGATTAGATTATTGATATAGCAGAAGTTACTTTAGTATGTTATTTTTATGTTGTCACAAAATAAATAAAATACTGTTCTATGTATTAAACCTTTAAGGAAGGAGTCACTTTTACAAGTTCAAATCAAAACAAAACGTATAATTTGAGCTCTATGTCCGTTCAACCATAAGTTACCTCTTTTATACCTCTTTCATCAGTTATGATATGTAATTTTGTTCAGGAAACAGGGCTTTCATTTCACATATATTATTTTCAAATGTTTCTATGAAACATAACATATATGAATAAAGCTGCATGGCATTTTAACTGTGAATGTCATAATACTGTTTGCTTTTACTGCAAAAAAAATTAACATATTTGGGTTCAAATTTGGATTCAGTGATGTTTTACAGGTTTTAAGAGTTTTGGAAAGTTACGGGGTCAAATATACGACTTTTACCTTTTTAGTTTTTACACATTGAAATTTGACAGATTGGTTTGGTTTGTTACATTTTAGACCATATGGCAGCTCAGAAATGAAAATTTAAGCCCATCATGGCATACCATTTGCAAAAGTAGACAACCCAAGGTATTCATGGGTTATGGTCAGTCTTTTTCTTAGTAGCCACTTTTCACACACAAATTGCACTTTCACTGATTATATCATAATGATATATATTTTACGGTTTTAAAACACTCATATTTGTGTTCAACAAAGGCTCCCAAATACAACAGTACCCCACCATGTCCAGGTTTTATGTTTTTGGGAAAATTACAGGGTCAGATATAAAGGAAAATGTATTCTTGCTTACCATAATTTTCTTTTCCTGGTCATAGGCCATGGCAGCACAACAATGGGTAGCTCCTCCCTATCCCTAACCAGACAGGAACCTAGAAACATAGAATGTGACGGCAGATAAGAACCATTCGGCCCATCTAGTCTGCCCAATTTTCTAAATACTTTCATTAGTCCCTAGGCTTATCGTATAGTTAGGATAGCCTTATGCCTATCCCACGCATGCTTAAACTCCTTTACTGTGTTAACCTCTACCACTTCAACTGGAAGGCTATTCCATGCATCCACTACCCTCTCAGTAAAGTAATACTTCCTGATATTATTTTTAAACCTTTGTCCCTCTAATTTAAGACTATGTCCTCTTGTTGTGGTAGTTTTTCTTCTTTTAAATATAGTCTCCTCCTTTACTGTGTTTATTCCCTTTATATATTTAAATGTTTCTATCATATCCCCCCTGTCTCGTCTTTCCTCCAAGCTATACATGTTAAGATCCTTTAACCTTTCCTGGTAAGTTTTATCCCGCAATCCATGAACCAGTTTAGTAGCCCTTCTCTGAACCCTCTCTAAGGTATCACTATCCTTCTGAAGATACGGTCTCCAGTACTGTGTACAATACTCCAAGTGAGGTCTCACCAGTGTTCTGTTAAATGGCATGAGCACTTCCCTCTTTCTACTGCTAATACCTCTCCCTATACAACCAAGCATTCTGCTAGCATTTCCTGCTGCTCTATTACATTGTCTGCCTACCTTTAAGTCATCAGAAATAATCACCCCTAAATCCCTTTCCTCATATGTTGAGGTTAGGACTCTATCAAATATTCTGTACTCTGCCCTTGGGTTTTTACGTCCAAGATGCATTGTCTTGCACTTATCCACATTAAATGTCAGTTGCCACAATTCTGACCATTTTTCTAGTTTACCTAAATCATTTGTCATTTGGCTTATCCCTCCTGGAACATCAACCCTGTTACATATCTTAGTATCATCAGCAAAAAGACATACCTTACCATCAAGACCTTCTGCAATATCGCTAATAAAAATATTATTATTTCTGTTTTAACCTAATTAAAACAGAAGGTATAAGTAACCCCTCCTACCCCTCCCACCCTCAGTCTTGTTTCCAGCAATATCCCAGGGCGGGATCTTTGTGCTGCTATGGCCTAGGACCAGGAAAAGAAAATTACAGTAAGTAGGAATAAATTTTCCTTTTTACTGGCCATATCCATTGCAGCACAACAATGGGTAACACCCAAGCAATAACCAAGGGAAGGAAAGAAGTACACAAAACTTCCAAAATATTAATGTAAGTTGACAACACACACCTCATAAGGACATTGGAAATGAAAAACTGATTGCCCACTATTGGCACATTAACAAATTGGCAAATTGACCAACTCAAATGTACCAAAAAAATGTTTGAAAATTGATTGAGGACCAAGCAGCTGTTTACCTACAAGTTCCAGGGAAACTTGACCACCGATGCTCAAGAGGGAGAAATGGCTCTAGAGAGCAAACAGACCTTTGAGTACTGTAACCCCTAGGGCTTAGTAGCCTAAAAAGAGCCAAGACTATCCATCTGCTGATGGCTTATATAGAGGCTTTTTGGTCTTTATGGTATATTAGTAAAGATAAACAGACTATCAGAAGAAATCCAGAAAGCGGCTCTATAGAAATAGATCTTAAGATATCTATCTAGGACAGGAGGAGAAAGTTTTATTACTGACTCTACATTCTACTCAATAGGTTTTAGATATATTGTGGAAGGCAATAAAGGGTTCTATGCAAAATATTGATTGAGAATCTAATATCATTCAGTCCATGCTAACGTCACTGATAAAGCTAACTTAATATTAAGCAGTTGTGGAGAGATATACTCTCATGGTTGAAAGGGGTAAAGATTTCAGAACCCTAAAAAAAGAACAGGGAAGAATTCCACAGGGAGCAATGGTTAACCGTGGGAGCATATAAATACAGCTGACAGAAATTTAGATACCTCCATACCAAAGCCCTTCCACGAAAAGAGAGATCGAAGAGTGTTGAGACATATATCTCTGAGGCTAATTCCTAGATGAGTCCTGGATTGAAGAATTTAGAACCTCCTTGGTAGAGTGAATGATCACGAATTAGAAATAGACCAGGAAAAAAGGCATCTCAACTCTGTAAGGTAGCCAAGGATATACATTTTACATGGCCTTTAGAAGGGTATTAATTACTGTAGTTCAAAAACTCTTATATTTAAGCCCTTCTTACAATATCTAAACCTTCAGAATGAGGAAAGTTGCACTGGACCTGATGGAAGAGGGAAGAACTGTCCAAAGGATTTCCATAGGAAAGTTAACCTCCATCCTTGTGACATCTTATCAGATCTATGGTGGAGAAACTCTCTCTGCTGAGGAAATATGATAGTATGAAGAGAGCTGACCATGTCAAACTGTGTTTAAAAGGGGAAGCCAAAATGACCCTGCAATAACTACAACTGGACTTATATTTTAGAATACGCACGAGCGAATCAGTTATCCACGCATGCACAGAAACGGCATGGCGCGACCATTAGACTAGCCCCTGCGTATTTGCGTGATTAAACGCAGAGGCCTAAGAAAAAGTTATTCTAGCTGCTATATTAAAAGGCATAAAGGTATAGGAATAAGACACAGAGGCCTAGGAATTAGTGGCTCCAGTGGCTATATTAAAAAGGCCCAAACAGAGGCCTAGGAATAAATTAATCCAGCTGCTAATTTAAAAGGCCTAACAGAGGCCTGTGAAAAACACAGAAGCCTAGGAATAAGTTTGATTGAAATTCAAATTAGCAGAAAACTCTTACCGTTTAGATGAAGCAGATGAAGGGCAGAAGAGGTTATATCCAAATATTTGCTCTGTATGTGCCTGCCCAGCCTGCTACTCCTGGGTCACTGCAGGAAATAGGGTGATGGCAAAATCTTGCTACCCCTAGGGTCATAGCAAGTAAATCCATGGGAAAGTACAAGATAGCAGAGTTGTACTTTAACCCTTTCAGTGATGGAATGCTAGTCCGTCTAACATTAACTTCTTCAGGGATGAAATGTTAGTAAATCTCATAGAATCCTTTCAATCCACACAGTCTGTATGTGCATGTCCGGCCTGCTACCCCTTGGTCACTGCAGGAAATAGGATGATGGCATAATCTTGCTACCCCTAGGTTCACAGCAAGTAAATCCATGGGAAAATACAGGATAAAAAAGTTGTACTTTAACCCTTTCAGTGATGGAATGCTAGTCCGTCTCACATTAACTCTTTCAGCGATGGAATGTTAGTCAATGTCATATTAATCCTTGCAATCAACGTGCTCTGTATGTGTATGTCTAGCTACCCCTTGGTCATTGCAGGAGACAGGATGATGGCATAATCTTGCCACCCCTAGGGTCACCGCAAGTAAATCCATATGCTCTGTATGTGCATGCCCAACCTGCTACCTCTTGGTCACTTCAGGAATTATGGTATCACAGCAAGTTAGAAACCCCCCGGTCACTAAAGGAGTTACCTTTGCACGGGGCTATGTACTGAAGACTTCCCAAGGGAGAGAGGCTGAACTCCCTTGAGGCAGAAGGTAACAACCCTCAGATAAGCCAAAAAGAAAAATGCTCTAGTCTTAGAATGACTAAGTCTGTCCTAGGGATAGTACAGGAACAAAAAGACTGAGGGTGGGAGGGGTAGGAGGGGTTACTTATATCTTCTGTTTTAATTAGGTTCCTGTCTGGTTAGGGATAGGGAGGAGCTACCCATTGTTGTGCTGCCATGGATATGGCCAGGAAATAGAATTTAAACACACACACACATATATATATGTATGTATATGTATATGTGTATATATATATATATATATATATATATATATATATATATATATATATATATATATATATATATATATATATATATATATATGTATATGTATATATATGTGTATATATATATATATATGTGTGTGTTTAAATTCTACTTGTACATATATGTATTATTATTTATATATGTACAAGTAGAATTTAAATATATATATTAGATTGATAGATAGATAGGGAATACAATATTGAACAAATATCTGCACACCAGTCAAGCCATAAGACTTGCTTTAACCACAAAAATCACATATTTGCAGTGATATTACTACTGCAAAGGATTTTGGGTGGGCATATGCAATGAGATAAACAAAGAATCACATTTTTGCCTCATTCCATTTTAAACATAGATTCCTTTGCCTCTGTGTTTGCTGTATACAACAGCTTTGAAACCCAACTTAGGAAAAAGATGCAAAGCTAGTGAATCTGCTTCGTTGTCCATAACATACGCCTGCCCATACCATAACCCCACTGCCACCATGGGCCACTCGATCCACAACATTGACATCAGCAAACCACTCACCCACACAATGCCATACATGCTGTCTGCCATCTGCCCTGTACAGTGAAAACTGGGATTCACCTCTCCAAAGTGCCAGACGAATGTGAGCATTTGCCCACTCAAGTCGGGGGCAAATACAAAAGTGTTGCGTTTATAATTTTGTTCAGTGTGTGTGTATGTATATATATATATATATATGTGTGTGTATATATATATATGTATGTGTATATATATATATATGTATGTATATATATATATATATATATATATATATATATATATATATATATACACACACACAATTGTAATCGAAATTATTAAACCCCCATTAAAAATCAGGCTTATTTTCAAAATGTAAGACTTTCAGCTCTTTGCAATGAACAATTAAAACAAAAGCAATTGAAATAGCTCAATACAACAAATATTTTAAGTGGTTTCCCAAAATTCAACTGAAAATGTAACTTATAATGGTATCTCCAGTCTCAAATTACTCAACCCCTTTATGGCAAGCATTTTTAATACTTCGTAGAGCACCCTTTTGCTGTTATGGCCTGCTGCAAACAAGATGCATAGCCAGACACCAACTTCTGGTGGCGTTCCTGAGGCATCCTAGCCCATTGCTCATGGGCAATGGTATCCAGTTTAGTAATATGCTTTGGTTTGCCTGCTGCTTCTGCAACCAAACTTTGGTGGAATTTTAGGTATGCTTGGGATCACTGTCTTATTGAAAGGTCTGATCACGTCCAAGCTTCAGCTTCCTCACATAAGATGGGATGATGTTTTCTCCTAGGATTTCCTAAAACTTAAATGAATCCATCTGCCTTCCATACATGGTAGGTTTCCTGTCTGCGTCTGGTGCATTAAGGTACCTCCTTCTGGCAACCATGGCTAAAGAGATTGTTGAGAATAAGAATGATCTATGGTGGACATGAATGCAAATAGGTAGACTTGGAGATTTATTTTGGTCCAAACTGCAAAGCAGCTGAATTCGGGCTGATTAGATGATTGGTGGAATTCCACAACATCAAGCTGAAATGTTGCTTGAATTACAAACTATCTGACATTTGTGATTCTGGACTCCACTCAATGTTTAAAGAAAAAAAAATGATCTTATTTAATCGCTGAACTAATTAGCAAGAAAATGCTATACTGTCAAACCGAACAATATATGTACCTCCTCCCAGTAAGTGAATATGCTCTGCTAATTCATAAGGGTTAACAAGTCAAAGGACCTGGCTTGTTTCTATGAGAGATTTTTTTTTTGTAACTAGGTGCTAATAACCAAATATAAAGATATAAATCTACCACTATTGTGACAATAATAATAATCTTTTATGTATTATTATAATACACATTAGCAATGGTTACAGCAAACTATAATGTGCACTGTAAATGATCTGTTTGGGAAGTCTGTGAATAAATATTATCCTTTTTCTGATTTCCATTTCATTATTAAGTTTGCTATACTGGTGAGCAAGATTTATACCTCAAATTATTCCCCTATGAGAGTTTCCCAGCACTTGTGTTTTTGTCCCAGCTCATTTCAACCTGATAACCTGATTTCATACTGTGCTTTAGTGCAATAAAAGT